TATAAGTTTTGATTTTTACAAGTAGAAAAAAATAATCTTTATGTTTGTAACAATCACATTTATACAAATTCAGAAAAGAGAAACACATTTTATGATCAACAGATAGTATCAAAGTTTTATAAAAAATTATTTAAAATATATAGGTGCATATAAATATTCACATAAATAAATAAAATAACTTCCCCTAATACTTTTTATTTTTAGGTAGTTAAGAATTTAGCATATATTCCAATTAATGCAGAATAACAAATAAATATTCCTTAAATTGCAAATAACAATGTTGCATAATATCGCGATCGATGCACTTTACAATTTCTATCACGTCGTATTTCATCGTGGATGCGACTGTATATCGACATTATACTTTACAACAGGAAATTATTCGCATTGACGAAAATTCTAAATATTTCGTGATAAAGAGGCGAAACGTAAAGTGCAACGTCTACCTCATTAACGAGCATCGTTATTTTCTCAAACGGAGCATCGGCTTATTATGAGCCGTCATAATTCTATGTGTCTCGCCTCTTCCCCCTTCCCCGAAGGGCACATAGGCGCTTTCTATCAAAGAGCTTGCAGTTTGAGAAGCAGAAGAGACGTGGGGCGAGATGGTTGGAGGCATGGAAGCAGTCGGAGAGTGGCCCTTTCAACGGAGACACTTTGCACCTGTTGAAGGTACAGCTACTCCTCGATCTTGCCAAACCCTCCCGCTCAAAGTGATCTCCAACCTCTGGCAGTTACTAGAAAAACGCCGGCGAATTCCCTCCCAGCGCCCGATTTCGTTTCGTTGACATCTCGGAAATTGGTTTTCGATATGAGCCGCGACGTAGGTATCCCATTGTTCCTTGTGCGTGCGACAGCAGCTCGAAGAACGCGTCTCGCATCCCATATTGTTCTTTTTTCCTTTCCTTTTTTTGACACATGTACACCTTTCGCAACAGCTATACCTTTATACGTTTAAAGAGTTCAAACAGTTCGATAAAAAAAAAAATCTCGAATATAATTATAATCTCGAAAATTGAAAAGAGAAATTCCACTTTCGATTCAAATATTCATTTGTCATCGGAGAATAGTCGAATTCAAAATACAAGAGCATAACTGCAAACTGCTGTTTCATATTGAAATGATATTCAATATTTGTGTCAACGTTATTTGCAGTTGTCACAAGCATCTGTTGCATTCTTGCAAAGTACGAAACTGTACATTGCAACTGCTTTATGTGTGTTTACATACTCGAAGCAGCATACAATTCCGTGATGATTGAAATTGGTTACGAAAATGACAATATATACCAATCAATGATTATTAAATTTTAAATGCAATGGAATTATTTTTTCTCTCTTTTCTCTCTTCTCGCTTCAATCCCTCAACAAAAATCCCGATAACACAGAGCTACGTGAAATTCCTCCCGGATATCCCGCGATTTTAACGCGATACGAAATCATTAGAGAGGAACGCGCGTCAGAAAAGCGCGTGTTAACTACGGGCCGCAACGCAGCGTCGTTCACAAGCAAAATTTTGAAGAAAATTAACGCGCTACGCCCGAAGTTACGTCGTCTACCGTGTCCAGGTGTACACGGGCCGTTGCGCGGAGCTTGCGAAAGCAGCCGGGGGCTAACTCTTCCGCAAGCTCGCTCCGGGTCTACGAGCCGTGTCGGCGCTACCGCGCCGCGCCGCACCGTGCCGGGGCGAAGTGCATTCGATGTTCGCAGTTCGCTGCCATGGCAACAATCCCCTACAAACAAAATGCATCGTGTGCACACGACATGCTACGGTTTCTCCTTGTCGCGCCGAGGCCGGTGCCCACCCGCCGCGCGTTTAGTCGCCACGGAAGGAACCATTGCCGGGGTGAAGAAATGCCACCGGACAGGACGAGACACGACTGTAAATTCCGAGCGTGGCGATTGTCGGAGGGGACGACGGCGCTTTGCCCCGTGTGCTTTGCGAGATAAATCGTCCGGCTAGCTCGTGCACTCGCACGGCTGCCGGGAGTGTCGAAAGGGGACACCGGTGAGCACGCGATCGGCGCCGATGATTAACGGTCGATTAAAGATAAGCGCCGACTGTTCGTTTTGCTACGTCGACATGCCGGCGAGATGTTGTTACGTGGTTAACGCTTTTGCGATCGATACGGTCGATGTGTACGGTTGTTGCGCGAGTCCATTGATGAATTTCCAAACGTACAATTTATGTTATAAACGTTGTAACGCTGATGTAATAATAGTCGTAACTAGCTAGTATTGCAAGTAGCAAGTTATTGCAAAGCTAATAATTATTATAATTTCAGATTATAATTCTGTAATTTTAGTCATTCAACTAAAAAACTTGCGTAAATGGCATTATACTTAAACAGATTGAAGTGACATGTATCGATGTTTTCGCAATCTGAATCGTATTTTTGTCGATTTTAAATGGAACGAAGGAAACAGGATATCGGTTATTTTTATTTTGCAATAAATGCGTAGTATCGTCTCTCCAGCTGTCAGCATCTCGACACAAAATACGAAGCAAAATAGTGTCACATAGTAATCACAATCATTTGTCGCGTTTGGTGCGAAAGCGACACTCGGCTTCCGATAAAGAAGCGACGTATCCTCTTAAACGCCACGGTGACGTTTTCGAATCCATACGGATTAGAAAATCCAATATAGAAAGGAGGAGCACCACGAGAGCGTAGCGGAACCGCACGAACGGGAGGGTGACCGAGGTCGCGCCGAAGGGAAATGGATAGAAGAGAAGAGGAAAGGTCGGAGAAGGAAGAGGCAGGGGGGGTTAGTGAAGAGCGAGGAAGAGGAGGAGCGAGAAAGAGGGAGAGTGAAGAGGGCATAACACAATTACATGTGGGGTTGATGCCGGGCTCGCTCTCCGTACGGCATAGCGGCGGGATGAGGGTCGGGGACCGCGCGCGGAGGGTGCCCCAGCGGTGGGTGGCAAGATTGAATATGAAAGTTTAATGCGAGCAATATCAGCGCCACTGCCCCGGCCCTCGGCTACTCACTCTCAGACGTCTCGACTATCAGGGTGCCCATCTTGGCCGTATCTCTCTTTATATCGCAAGTGCGCGCTCACAACGGTGAGCTTCAAGCGGGAAAGAGGCAAGAACGGTAGAAAGCACTTCAGATCTTTGATGTCCGGAGGTAACCCGCAGATCGCCTCGAGCTTGTTCCACGCTCGCGCGCGGTCCCCGTATATTCCTGACCGATTTGAAAAACTGATTTGTCAATCCGCAGCCGCGCGTCGCTTTCGACAAGCGCGTCCATTTCGATGCAAACAACGTTTAGAGCGCCGCGCAGCACGGGAACGTAATTAACACCTTGTTGGCTCTTCTCTAGACGCGAATATCGGCTATTTCCAGCGCGCGAGAAATGATGGAACAAAAGGAAGCCTAGGATATTGTCGATAACGTATTTGATTTCCCTCTTTGCCCTCAATCTACTAAATTCAAAATGTCATGATATCTATCTATCTTTATTGCATAATCTTATCAATTATATGATAATCTTTATATATCAATCGACAAGCTGTCACGTACTTCCTTGTTAATCAATATTGTATATGCAATCTTTTAATTTTCTATCTAACGTATTTTCCAATTTCCTAATCGAAGGTACGTACTACAAATGTATTGTAAAATCGTTAGCAATCGCCATCTTTCCTTCTCGCATGAAAAAGGATAATTATCAATTAAAAACTTACTTTTGTGTAAAGATACCTTGCTTGTGGATGGGATTCACGAGCTCGCTAAGGCGTTTAGTGACTATGCCTTCGGCTATTTGTAAAACTTTCCTCATTAATTACCGACAAGATTCGATTTCGTCCCCTCCCTCTCATACCAATCTCCCATCCCAACCTTTTCTCACTATGGTTTTGCCTCTTTGTCCGCCACAGCGAAACGAAGTTTAATAGTGAATTAGAACGTGCGTTCCTGCAACCGGCAATTATCTGCCAATTAATAAGCCGAACGCTGTATTATCGAATCATATTTTTAATTAAAAAACGCATGTATATAAAAAAAAATCATTTTACAATAAAAAAATGAAGATAGATTCTATATTCGAATTAAAAGTAACTTTATAATGATATTGTATGATTGATGAAAGGTTCATTAAAACTATGCATGGAAATATCACAGAAAAATTTCTCTCCTTCAGTTAACTGTATTGCCCTACTTTATCCCTTCAACATCACCTCGGCACATTTGCAAGTATATCTCTTCGTCAAAGAAATAACTTCCGGTACATCTTGTACGTGTCAACGTGGTTAAAAATACAACCGTACATACCTTTACGCACGCTGTCGCACATCGCGCGCGAAGACACACCGGCATTTCTTACAGTAGAGAGTCCCCTTCATCCCACTTCTTCCTCTTATGTTCCGCTATCGCGCGCCGAATAATGCAGGCTCTCCCGGAACGGCGTTGCTTTAGTGACAAGCGCCTTTAAGAGTTTAGACGTGCGTCAACTTAAGCAAATGCAGATCAGAGCAACGACGCGCGACGAAGTGCTCGGATCTGACAGAGAGCCGGCGGAAATGTCGACTGATGATAGAGACGAAATAAGATAGTTGGTAACATCACAGCGAGAGACCTCTAAAATGGAATGATGGCTACGTAGAAGGTCCTACTATATTCTCGAGACAGGCGAATACGCGATTCGCGTTTATATATGAGATCATATATGCTGGCGGTGCGTCTGCGGTTGTCCGCAAGCGACAAGACTGCGAATAATACGAGCTTATATACTCCTAGATAAAGAACTCGTAAACACGATAAAATGTTATCCCATCGTGGATTCAAAGTAGGAACTGTAACTTTTGCAGCGATGGTGAATTTTTTCCTTTCTTCCTTCTCTCTCTCTCTCTCTCTCTCTCTCTCTCTTTTCTCCCCCTTTCTCTTCATTTTTTTTTTTAATTAATTTAAAAGGAATGACATATGTCTTGTTGAAAGGGAAGAGATGTCTGGCTGATAAAAATGAATGCCATTAACGTGTGATTAATTTGTGCAGATGCGGGAGACAGATCGTACCGTACGGGATCCGACACGGAAGGCGCAGCAACTACGGACAACCCTACAACGCCATTTCCTACGCCGCCCCCAACCTTGACACCGAATCATCGGCAAGCTTCTCCGTTTCCCCTCGAAAGCACAAACTCTCGCCGGCATCATTACAACGGCAGCATATCTTCCGAGAGATCTCGCAACGGCAATGGTAGGGAGTTAATTAGAACCGCAAACGGGTTGGTTTGCACGCAAGATGATACTTACGGGCTCGCCGCAAGATGAATCTCATCAAACGCAATTTTATACTGTGTTGTACAAAACGTGACGCGTGCAAGACGAGCTCATTTTGGTAGATGGACGCAAGACGAGAAATCCCGGTAGATAGGCAATTTAGAGTGATAAGCAATGTGACATTACATAGGGCAGCTTCAATCTCAGTTTCAACCCGTTCTAGTATGACACTCTGTTTTATTCATCTTAACACTGTTCTATTCATCCTTACATTTCTAGTTTCTCCGCGTACGTTTTACGGTCAAATACCCTGTCAGAGAAGTTAAAACAATTCCGAAGCGCTTTTACTTAACTTTTATTATTTAAATAAAAGTTATTTGCTAAAAGTTAAAAGTTAGTCTTACGTGAAAGAGTTTTATTTAATCTCACAATGATTTCGTTTCTTTTAAAGCAATTTCGAAAAGATTAAAAGACTCGGGAATTCTCATTGTCCACGTGCTAATACAAGATTGAATTAACCGGTATGACTTTTTCGTTCGTTAGCGCAAAACCGGTGTTCTCTGAAAGAAAGAACTTCTTATCGGGCTATTCGAAAATATTCGAATCTTCTTCATTGCAGGTGAGACCGTTTACGCAGCGTCCACAAAAAAGACGACTTCCGGCGGCGGTACCTTAGGTCGAAGAACACGCCGAGGTCACGCAAGCGCCTTGAGCAGCAGCTCCACCGCGAGCGATCGTTCCGAAACCGTCTTCCCCGATGAGCATACTCGCATGCATCTCACCAATGGTGAGAAGGAATATAATTTCAATTTCTTCATACGTATCACGCGATTATTATTTCACACGCATGATCATCGCATCACATCGCATGCTGTCGCATATCAATCAATTGGGACGATTAAATCCCAATGGATGTATCGAGTTAAAGAATAAAATTTCTACTATTAAAGACTTCGACAAAGAGATTCATTCAGCGTGACGGATCGGGATAAATCCTCGTCGATCGCCCTGAGCGGATCCGCCCTTTAAATCACGACGTAAAATTTGCCGCGGTGCGATAAGTTAACGATCCATGCCTCAAATGCGATTACCGGACTAACCGAGTTACCGGCTGGTATCGAGCCTCTAGCCGGAGTTAAATCGGGTTTCCGTAAACGTGTTCCTCGTTAAAAGCTTAATATTAATAGTCACCCAGAAACGCGAACGGAAAAAGGAAATCATATATGGAACTCAATATCTACATATTCTATAAATATATATTTCTGTCTTCTAAAACTTTTTCATCTTATATATTGCATAAAGGTCTTAAAAAATAAGAATCGTATTTGTAGATGGACCGGTTATATAAAATTGTTCAAGATTATTGTTTGAGAAAAAGAAAGAATTACAAGCAATAAGCTTTCAGCCATGATCTACCATGACTCCACTTTTAATAAATTGTTATCGATGATTATTTCAATAATTTTATAAAATTAGTAATATAAGAAAAGACATTGTATCTCCTCTTGGTCCCGCTCTAAAATAACGTGCATAGCCATAATTTCGATTATACACGTGTCCTTATTACAAGGATCCCTCGTTTCGCGCTTCCCATCGATGTTGCGGTTGCAAAGCTTCGTGAAACGGCCAAGGGCGAAAGATCTTGGCAAAGGCAAACGTTTCCCAACCATGTATTATCGTCTAGCGGACAATACCATAATCGACAAACTCCGTTATACATCGGCTCATTAAATAACCAAAGGACTTTCTATTTTGGCAGTTAGGTTTATTGTTGTCTGATGCAGTAATGTACCAGCGGCAACACCAACAGTGTCGGTGGCTGCAATGGCAGCGCGGCAATAGCGCAGTGCAAGTGGGAGAGGGAAAGAGAAAGACTCGAACCCCCGGGCTAACGAAGTTAGCAGTTGGCGCCTGGGCTCGGCTAGTTAGACCATAGGCCACCGTCAAAGTTAGCGTGACCTCGCCGACTATATTGTTTCGAAACGTCAACAGTATTTAGATCTCTTGTCGCAAGGGCCGCGCGCTATCTTCGCACACGCACCGCCTCACTGACGCAGCTTCTAGCCTCGACCACTGAGACTGATAAGAGAAAGTAGCTTTGCGGCTTTGAACTGGCAGCCGCGGTCGACGAGCGGCTTACGCTCGTCGGCTAAGTTTTAAACGAAATTTCGTCGGATCTCATTTCGTGTCGACGCGACGTCGACGTCGATGCGGCGGCGGTCACGTCGGGTTCGAGGGAAGCCGGGCTGCCAATTAGTCTACCGATATCGCGAGACAGCGAGAGCGCGGATGAAAGGGCGAAGGATAGCCCGGTGAAAAGCCCGGCGAGCGCCCGAGTGCGGTAAGGAGCGCGAGAGCTTCACCGCATCTTCGTGGACGGTTACCTCCGGAATTTCGAAGACCGCATTGCTCCCGCCCGCTCGAGTGCGATCACATTACGCGTAGGATCCATGAAAATTAGCGACGCGAATCAAGCTTGTGACTCTCTCTCCTGGACATTTGCAATACATGTAAACGTGCGTTTCTAGGTATGTTGCAAGCGCACATACGGGAGCGTATGCTATATGTCATATATAAAGGCAAAGCAATCCTGAAGAACGATATATAATTTTTCGTCTTTTAGCCTCTTCTAATCTTAAGCTTAGGAATTTATATCACTCTTAGGTCATAAAAAATATGTAACGAATCACTGCAGCTATCGATATATTTCTTAATAATAATTTTTCAACACACTCTGAACGATTCTAAAAAACGAGCATGCCAACGATGATGATGACGATTGTTATATAAGATCCTGCAAGATACCGCGTATAATTACCAAGATCTCGTAAGCAGTAATTTGAGTCTGAATCTGCGATGGGATATTGCTTGCCAGAATGTCCCTGCGGTCTAATGGAGGCATGTCGCGGCATCTATTAGCAAATGGCTCCCAACGGTCAGGGCTTACCCGCGTTAACCTCGTGCGCACCGCATCGCCAGAAAGACGATTGATATTACATTAGACCGCCGTAGTCTAATGTGGCCCAGTCGAGGAGCGCGTTATTGAATTGGCGAACGTGCGAAACCCGATAACGTTACGGTAATTTGCTATCACAAAGCTATGAAATGCACACATTAAATGCGCCCACTCGCCATGGTAAAATGAAAAATTAACGCGTTACGCATCTAGCCTCATTCTAAGCATTAATCAGTGAATAAATGAACGTTGAAAATATAATTCTGTCGATATGCATGGTAATTTTTTCTTGCAATTTAATAGTATTCGTTATAAACTTTTGTTAATTCATAGGATTTTCAAACAATTATTAAATTCGTGAAATGTATATGTATTACGCACATTTATATGGATGTATATCAATTAGAAGAAAAGTACAATTTTTGTGAAAAAATTAATAATTGTGCACAATGTAAATGCGGCAGAAACAAATCACCGTTGGTGGAAAATAAATTTTCCACGGGTTTTCGCAATCGTTCAACGATAGTCGGTAATTTTTGACGGGCTCTGATGCGGGTTGTTGCATTTAATGCCGTGGAACGAATCATGCGCACCAGCAAACTTGATGCTATCAATTTGTTCGATTGATATAGGTTCGCGGTATATGTTGCATACATGAGTAAAATAAATGCACATGGAATCACTGACTTATGTGTATCAAGTAAAAAACTTTAAAAATCATGATATACATTGCCAAAGTACACTGGCATTTTTAATAAACGATAATACGGTTCGGTAAATAACTCGCACGAATTTTTGTTCCTTTGATCGTAGATTTAATCAAAAACACTAGATTCATTATTTCTAACTACAATGAAATACTTTTTATGACGATGACCATTCGGAAAGTTATATATAAATGTGTCTGCTTGGATAAGTGCCAAGTTTCGACAAATAGGAATAATTTCAAGCGCTACTTGCGAACTATGCCAATAGTCCGTGTTCGCCATTACCATTATCGTTCTACTCTTTTCGGATTATCTTTTTTGGACTAGATATCTACGGCAACGCAAATCCATTATTACACCTAATTGTTCGCAATTTTCTTATCATTTGCAAAAATAAAGGCCAATTTTTACGTCATAAAAAAAGAACAGATACTTTCTGTGACGGTGAAAAGAATGTGCGGGAATTAAAATCACGGAGTATTAAGTTTATGGATGACGTTATAACGGCCCTGTCTCACCACTTTACTACCATTACGCTAAGGTAAATAACTCAAACAGAATGTAATCAATGCGCGAACTTAATTGTCGTAAATTATCATATAATACTCGGGTTACGAGCAACGTGATATTTATGAACTTTCTTCTCCGTGAAAATTTATCATGGCAAAGCCGTGGAACCGTATCCTGTTCCAAAGTACATTCGACTACTTTCTCTGTGCTTCATAGTTGTCAGAAATATTGTAATTAGGGTCTTTCGTTAATTATAATCAAATATGTTCTATTTTATTACATCACCGTTAAAAGTTAAGGAATATAATAAGAGCCGTAAAAGACATTATTTCCGACCGATTCATCAGTGGCGCATAAATGGATTCAGACGATGCACGGATGAAATTTTGTGTGTCCGGCGCGAACGAAGGCGGAAGCGTCATATAGAAATTGTACGAGACAGTTCGGACGAAGCATTCACAAATGCTAACTCGGTTTATTAGACTGTTTGGTCCGGAAGGAGTCAAGCCAGGACGATTCGTTGGACTGGTCATCGGACAGTACGTACAACACCTACCAATACCGCGCCGGTATAGCGCTGGCAAATAATTCGTATTTACATGAACGTGTACTCCCCGACGCGGCGGAGGCGTTAGACCGACAAATCGAATTACAGACGCGAATCGCTAACCGCATCAAGTCACTGTCGGCTACCTTGCATCCCCTTGCACTGTCTGACTAACCCTTCTCGCCGCCCGCGAATGAGGGATAACTCGGTTGAACTCGGTATCGGTGATGCGCTAGCACACTATATAATTGGCTCACAACGATTGGCTAAGACATACCGCCGGCGACGTTATATTGCTCAATAATGTCCAATTAGATGCCGTACTAATATCAAATAGGTGTACGCTTGTTACATTTGTAATAATAATTGAAAGCAAATTTCGCTAAGTACCATATCAAGAAACTTGAGCTCTTTAATCCATATGAACAATGTATTTAAAATAATTAAATTGCCCTAATAATGTAATTTTTGTAAAGTTGCTTCGCTAAAATTTAGAAATTATAACAAGTAAATATAATTATAGTTTTGCATAAACGAATTTACGTAAAGTTTATAACAAATATAAAATATAAGAGATAAACCAACACACATTTCTCGAATTTTTAAATAGATACTATCCTTTAAAGAAGATTAGAGAATTTGGATCTGTATGTAATAAATGTATATTTTGCCATGTGGAGTAAGCCGTATTATGTAAATAGTGAAATCTATATTATTGAGTTATATCATGTTCATCATTTTGCGGAATTAGATTGCACTGCGCCTATCGCCATCAGAAACTGCATGATTTATTTTGTGCGTTCTGTAAACGCTATCCAATGCTTTATGAGAGACAGTAACGTGGTTTGACCACTGGTCAATGATGTACCAGTATTAGCTATAATTGGCTGGAACCGTATTGATCTAACCTTCATGTAGGCAGCGTTATCTCCTATCCTTGCTGCGTATAATTAGCTATGCTAGCGAATGTACATATACAGTACAATAAGTCGTTTAGTAAAATTTAGTATTTAGAAATTTACTCGACTCGACGAGATTTGCAGATCGCATTATATAATACTGCGTTAGCAATTGGCTTACGCGTTTATGTGTAAAACGTATGAAAAAAATGATGTCGAATACATCCATCAAATAGATAATAAAATTGTTTGTTGCCGATCGCCGATATAATTGATCTACTGGAAATTCAATCGATCATAAAATTCCGCTACGTTGCCGAGATTTTTGCTTTTGACGATTCAGCCGCCGGATTAAATTTAACCGGTTTTAACTCTTTCACTCGCATTCTAGCAATTTAACGTTATATTCGCAATTTCAAAAGAACCTCCTACAAATATGTTATTTTTACCAGATTTTAATTTGCTATTGCATCGTGCTGTGTATGTGAAATGGCGTAAAATGACTACGAAGGCAAAATGTACTTTGCGACCTGTAGTGAATCGTTTACGAAGTGTATAAGCTTGTAAAGTAACACATTGCAGATTCAAAGAGGGTCGAACCTCTCTGTAGCGATTTCGTACCGGCTCCGAGATTTTTCCTACCCGTCGTTGGTGCGATATCGACTTTGTAATTGAGCGTTACAGGTGTTCCGAGCACTCGAACGGTATCAGCAAATTGTTCAATAACTGGAACAAATGTATATTTCGACGGTAAAGTTGTCCGAGATACGCGACGGACGCGGCTGGCGCTGACAGCTATGCATTGCGCATTTCACAGTCCGGTTTAATTAAGCGATTATTACTGCTTATTACGGAAAATATCGATGCTGCTCCCAGGTGACTTTGCAGAAATAATTTCCCTATCGCGTTTATAATTTCTGCGATTAATTAGACTTCGATCCGACCAAGTGATAATGGCGAAAATCGTCGAAAATCTGAATAGTTTCGCTGCAAACCGCTTGTCAAGAAGCGAAAGCGAATATTGCAGATATGTCATTATCATTCACATGCATGACAATTTCATTAACCTTCAGTGCCATCCAATTACACTTTGAAATACATTTGTATTTTTATTTTTCGTGTAAGATTATTAAATTGATCACTCACACAAAATAGTAGCTACATTCTGCCTCGAGTTCTCACTGTGAATTAATTAATCAATGGAAAACCTCTATTTGTCAATGAGAAATTATCTAGCTATCGTTAGCTATCGTTAATCATTTCACAATCGATAATTTTAATATTGCTATCTATAGAATTTTTGTAATGTACGGAAAACTGATCATTTATTTTGTTCGATGCTCCATAATGCACTTTCGTGTGCAAATTTATTTTAATGTAAATTTATCTGTATATAATTTAAACTGATTCATCATATATCCCATCTGCATGATGTAATACACTCTTTTGGAATTTTTACATATGCACAAGCCAATCCCGCCGCACTAATGCACTTTTCTCTCTGCACATTCCTTGACGCACAGGTCTGCCCAGGCCTATTTATCTCACAGGTATGTAAGCAATCTGTAGGAAAATCAAATTTACCCTGTACCGTTTTCATGTTTATATTAAAAGTTTATCTTTTATCTTCTATCGCTACAAACAACACAATATAGTATGATAAACTAACTGTGGAAAAATGTTAGACAAAATTACATTGCACTTTTATAATCTTTCAATGATTTTTTTCTTAATCATGCCTGATATGACTTATAGTGTTCTTTCCGTTAACTGTTAAGCGAAGAGTTTTCCACTGGCTTGCTTGCCAATGCGAAGAATTGCGATAACTATGAAACGTTAAACTATTGTTTATTATGTGGCTCGAGTAATTGTCTTGACATTTACAACACACATCCATAAGTTATAACGACTCGCTTAATAGATTTTAATCCGCAGGACCAGGGACCGAAATTCCATTATCCCACATCCGAGTTACCACAACCAAGTTACGTAGCTTCACGAAAGCGCGATAGACCACTGTATTGCAGTTAAACTTGATTTACAATAATGTGCTCTGTAACATTAACAACCTTTAATGGTTATACATTGCTCCAATTATGTATATATGCTCAACGTGGTATCGGTTTATAGCGTCACCGTCGGCTGTTTTGGCTAATTCACTATAACTGGTGCCTATACAAATAATATAAAATATCAATAACGCAAAAAAGATGTAAAATTTATAATCGTTACCGTTTGCTCATGTTTAATTAAACATCGTTTTAATGTTTTTGAATATTGACCCCCCTTTGATACAAAAGTCGACCTTTTTTCGCGGGTAACTCTCAAATATTTTTGTTGCCGTCGACATGCCTCGTAGGCGCCCTTTTGTGCTCTTTATGTTTAGGTAACTTTAATTATTCTTTGGTGGAGTTCCTTTCAAGTTTCAACAACTTTATAAGTAACTTAACTACGGGAACACTAGCAACGCTGAACCCTGAAGGGCCAGTGGTAAAAGGGTACCGGTAGAAATGGAAAATTTTTAGTATTGCTCTCTATTGAAACTCGTTGTAATTATATTTAGACACAAGAGAGTTACGAAAAGAGTTTCTTAAGAAACGTATTTATTATTAATGTATACATATGATTATTTAAATGTGTACGCATGTGCAAAGCGAGATGCGCGTTGCGAATGCATTGCATCATGTCGCTATCGCAGCTTTTAATGTGCATTTGTGGATAATGATACTGAAATTGCAATATACGCCGTTAATATCTCAATTATTCTATTCAACTATTATTCAATATTTTTTGGTGTACTCCTTCGCTCCTATAATGGGTAATCAATTTCATTGTGTAATTGCACATAGATTCTTTGAATCTGCATGCATAAAACGTTATGAAGAGATGCCTAATTGATGCCGCTTAATTGCTCGCGGCATTTCTAGTGGGAGTAGATTAGAATTTCACGAATGCCACGTAAGAGAGAACATATCGCAATGAAATGGATGGAATTATACCGATACAATCGTTCAATCAATAATTCACAAGATAAACATCAAATATTTTAAATTTGACGTATCAAATGAATTTGTTATTTGAGGAACCAAATAAATTACCAAAATTATGAGATTAAATTTTCAGAGAATTTGAACTTATTTTCTCTGGTTTTTTTTTTAATAATAAAAGTAAATATACTTTGGTTTTTCATATAATTGATTCATTTAATTCAGAACCACTATTATTATACCACACGCGATTACATCAAACATTTCATTACAAACACAATGTTCTATATTGATGTCGTTCAACAAATTATTTACCAGTTCATGCTTTTAAAGAAATGCGACGGTACTATGAGAAATAATATACAATTTAATAAAAATATAAATATGTTTCGCGTTTGCAGATACCGGTAGGGATTCTCCTCCGGAACCCGCGCCACCGGAAGTACCACCTCGCGGACCATCTTTGCACGCAACGCATACTTTACGCACACAACAAAACCGAAATGGTTGTCCACCAAACGCATCAGGAAGTTTCACTGTGCCAAGTGATCAAATGCCGACCGAGACGTATTCGGGTAAGTAACAACAATTCAGTACTTTGCACGCTCTCAGCATTAGTTGGAAATTTAAAAATTTAATTTCCAAATTCTAAATCGGAGACATGACATAAATTAACCGTTAGTTTCATAGTATATTTAAATGTATGTGTGCTTCTCTGAAAAATGTCTCGTCTCCTTTAAACTCACGCGAGTATTTCTTTCTCCATAAATTAGTGTAAATATACGCGCGCAAGTACGAATGTCGCTAATGTCTCATGAAAAGAGCAATATAATGACAATTGAATCGTAACGTGATCCATTCCGCTAACCCGTGGATACCGTTATATGACGCGGTTCAGTTTTCATCGGCGAGTATTTAATTTGGTGCATACTCTGGCGCCGATTATGTAGATGTGCAGATGCGTACGCGATGGGGTGGGGTATCTGTTTAAACTAATGGGGTGTAGACCAAGGGGAGAGGTTTGCATTAAAGCACCCGTTAATTCATTGTAAATATACTCAGCGTATATTCGTTTCTCTATATTTCTATGTACATACCATTAGTATATTGCTGCGACTAAACATCGTTTATACTGGTCGTGACGATCCTGAACATTGGAGCGCGCATGTGCACGGAGATTAAATACATGTGCGATTAACGTACGGTTGCATTCGATTCACGTACCACTGCGTTAAACACTTGTATAATAATAGAAACGCGACATATTAACAAGCGCGATTACTCGCGTACAATGACAATTAATGAAGCTGCCGGTATTATAATTTGCAACGTTTGATTATCTTACTTCATTTCTTTGCTGTAACCTTTTCTTCGTACAACAATTTGTTATTTTATATTATCATCCAATTCCTTAGAAAATCATATGTAAAAATTGTACATAATGGATATTGTAATGATGTATCATGTATTTTTAACTCAATAACGTAAGTTAAAATGATTTAAAATGGTTTGAATACTAAAAATACTATTCGGCACTGCGAATTTACTAGTAAAACAAAAAAGACGCCAAAAATACGTAGATCCATGGTCTTTTATGGGAGTACAACAAAACGTTACTCGGCGCACTTTATTTCCACGGGATCACTCGAATTTTACGAGAAGCGTTTTGCCAGTATATCGAATGCTCACATGGTTCACTATGCTTACACGGGAATTTATTGTAATGCATTCTCGATAATCCGTACCGTTTTAACGGAGCGCAAAGTTTGACCGAACGCAGCGAATTCGCTCTCGCGCAAAGAATTGCACGCGTTTTCGGTGCAGCGCGATTTAATAATACTGATTCCAATCGCTGATTACTAATTAATGTGAATCGCATTGTTATAAACGTAAACTTCAATACGTAGACAAATCTTGGGGAAGCGTTGTGCTTTATGTGAATCCCACGTTAAAATATGCACGCGTTAACGCGGTACACCAAATCTGCTGTTGGGAAATTATTGAAAGTTATATCGTTCTCGCGCGTATAACGAAACGGCATTTGGTACGGACGCCATAGAGATGGTAAATGCGCAAATTAGTACGATGTTATAATCCCATTGTTTCATGTTCGTTGAAGTGTGTCAAAATGTTAAAATTTTAGAAATGCTCAATAGAGCGATGGTAATGGTCAAAAAAATAACACAAAATTTTATGTTTTCCAGATAATACTATAATTAAAAGAAAAAGATTTGTCTAATAAATTCATGCAAACATTGTAATATATTTATAAAAATAATAATTTTATAAATAATAAAGCAATTCCTGTCTCATCTATATATCTGATTTCCAATATCTTTTTCTTCAAAACACTGTTTTTTCTGTTATAGTTATAATGCATAATAAATTTTTTTTATTTCAGAAATTACGTATGTATAAAAGATTTTTACGCTTTACATCGTTTTGTCAACAAGTCAATAATAATGCGCAATTTTTTTAAAATCTACGAGATGATAATAAAAAATAATAAAAGTTCGATGTAATAATTCGACTTGCATTATACCAATTTCATTAGATTTAATATTGTTCCTCAGATTTAATATTGTTAATTACAAACCATTATTTGTTTAATATTGAATTTGGTATTTTTCGGTTTTATCAAGAGATATTGATAAAAATATATTCAAATTCATTCAAATTGAAACATATTATTCAAAATCTGTTATGTGAAAAATCAAGAAATTTCATAGTTTCAACTTATTGAAAATAGATTTTGAGAGATTACTTCCACCCTTGATAGTCGAATAGATAGTTCGCGAAAAAAAATTCACGTTGCCTTCGGGACTACCTACAGAGAGACCGATATTATTAGGAGGTCTGAGGTACTTAAGCTTCGCGTATTTTTGCATAACTGGAAATTAGAAATAATTATTGTTGCACCTCGGGGAACAGCGGCGTCGCGCAATAGCGATGTGCACAACAGATAACTCTCTCTCAATGCCTTTTTCACGGGATATGTTCATCGAAATTCACGTGAATAAATAACAGAGAATTATTCAGGGGGGACTTCTAATGATTTTACTGCATTAATAATTGTATTAAATAAAGATTTTATTCATTTCACCGTGCACAGCGAAAAGCGATGAAATCAATTTTGAAGCCGTTGTGTGATTCCATATAAATTCATTATGATATTAAGAGATAAGACTGCGTTACCGCCAGGAATAACATAGCTGCTTATGAAGTGAGTATAGCGAAAGTCATGTAATGAACAGATTGGAGATGCACCCAGACTAAGTAAGTTACATGCAGTTAGTTAATGACACTTCATAACTTTGCTCTAAGTACAAGTGGCCACCCATAGTTCTGTAAAGTTTACGGAGCGCACGCGAGTACTCACTCGGTTTCCCCGTGCATCTCTTTCTCTCGTTAAGAAGCATTTGCTAAGATAATTATGAATATAACTTTAGATGAAACTTGCTTGTCCAGTAACTTTATGACGAAAAAGATGCTGCCAAGCATATAGTGTATGATATATAAAACTTTCCATCTAATTTTTCTTTTTTTACTCAAAATATATCAGCGATACGACATTCTCAATTTGCAATGGTACAGAGAAACTTTTCTAACTATTTAATTTTTCTAAAGTTTAAAGATTATTTACATTATAAAAATAAAGATAAGTCGCCACTTTTGTCTCCGGAATATTTGAAATCTGGAAATACTAATGGAAATACTGTACCAATAAACGAGCTTCAGAATAAGTGAATTTCATATTTATTTAATAATCTACGCGCACGGTATCAAACTGTACGTGAATTACATTGAAATTAGATGCGAGATCATTAGCTACCACTATAAGGGGAGACCGTCATACACCGTTTTACTCAGCTGATTTTCCAGAAAGCACCGCCCCGCGATATGATGCTTCAAAGGACTCCTTTAATCGTTTCGAGTTCCGACAGGAATTTCTACCACCGCGCCTTCTCCGTCCCGAACTTTCGCATCCTGGGAAGGATGAACTCGATCTAGGAGCCGTTGTTTGCTCGCGCGGGAGTGAAAGGCGGGCGAATGTTTGCCTTCTTCTGGGGTTCCTCACTTCCTAATGTCTCACCGAGATAGAGGGTTGCGCGTCGTAAAGTGGACGGAAATTTTATTAGTATAATCGTCGCATTAGCACCGAGGTCATTGCACACACGAGAGAGCGGGTATTAAGAAAGAGGGGAGGGGTGGCGAGGGAAGCGGAGAGTGTGGAAAATAACGGGGTGACCCAACCTTCGGTTGGCTGACCGGTGAGATGATCGTAGATAGACGCGCGAGGACTGCGCGACGCTTTGTGCCTGCTGGAATTGCTCTGTATTAATTACCGACTCGCTAATTACTATTTATTAGAAACTGGAACGCGCACGCCACGTGAAGCCGAGTCGTGCCGAGTCGCGCTATTATCGCTTCGCTTCGAACGAACACCTACGTCGTAGCGTCGTTCCAAGGGAACTTCATTACGCCGTCGATTACATCTTGCACTGGCGTTGCCAAGAACATTGAAGCGATCCCATATCCCGATCCCGATTCTCTCGAGCATCTTCTTTAACGCGGTATCGATCCTCTTTCGCCCGAAACATCCAGATTTCCTTATACGTTTCATACAAGGTCTCAGAAAATTATGTGTGCCATACATTCTGCCATGCTATCGAATAATAAATGCATAAATTGCGTTCTTTTGTATGAATGTGTCCTTGGCATGAATGTAAAAGTGTATGTGAGAGTATATGTGAGAGAGTGAGAAAGAGAGAAAGAGAGAGAGAGAGAGAGACGGGGATTTTAAATTTCTGATAAACAAATTAAATTTATATAGCAAACGTGTTTTAAAGGCACGCTCACTTCCGCATAGTTACTATGAAAGAAGAAAGTTTACGACGGCGATAACGCGTGCCGTGACAAATTGCCTTTAACCTATTGCGCGTCGGCTTAAGGATGCAAGATACATCTCCGGCGATAAGTAAAACGAGCACACCAGCAACGAGAATATAATAGGATGCTTTTTCCACAATTTATAGAACGTTCGGGACGTTATAGGAGGAATAAAGGTATATAGTCTCAGCGGCTATTAAATCCTCGCTTCACACAGACGAAACGCGATGCCGTTTTTGAATCCGATAGTATTTGCCTTACAGCTAACATAATTGCGGCTTAAACAATTATATTAGCTCGAATGTAAACGTTTTTTATTTTTACTAATTTATTGTTTTGTATTAATTCGGAAATTATACATTCAATTAGTAATGAATAAAGGATAGTTAAAGTAAAAGAGCAATTAAATTCAGTGCAGTTAATCGTCTAAATAAGATATGATAAGCTTAACATTCTAGTTCTTTGACATAATATGCCAATTTATTCAATCTCAATATTTCTGCTCGAGAAGATTATATTTAATGAACCTCTGCACCACCACTTATTTAAATATTTTATTAAGTCATATTTTATTCGTAAGTCCTCATCAAAGGATAATGCAGCATCAATTATCGATTCTCCAAGGCAGACTAATTATTACATATACATAAAAATTAAATATATAAAATAGCGTTATGCATAATTG